TAGGATAGCGACTGCCCCAGCCAGTCCTGCCCAGGCCTCCTTCCTGCAGTGGGTGTTGGAGATGGGGTGGCCACTCTAGTCACGCCAAACTACAGGCAGAGGCTAGAGGCTGCGGGTTGAGTCCTTCCTGGTGGCCCGTGTTTTAGCTGAGACTATGGATTTGTGGGGCTGGGGACAGGTAAGAAAAGGTCAACTTTTTCATGTGATCTGCTGAGTTTCGTGCCTGGCAGTGCAATTGGGAGAGAGGCAGGAGGAGCAGCAGCCAAAGGAGAGGTGTGAGGATCCCCGGAGCGGAGCGGTGTTCCAGAAATAAGGGGGTACCTCTGAGAACTTATTGATGCGCAGAAAACCAAGTTGAATAGGGTTGCAGGGTGAGTAGGCTGCTCAGGTGGTTTGGGGCTCAGAGGAGCTGTGTGTGCCCAAGCCTCCCAGAAAGGCTGGGCTGCCGGTGCCCAGTGGTGAGTGCGGCCTACCTGCTCTGTCCAGGAACTGTTCCCAAATCTAGGGCCAGCCAGGTGAGAGCAAAGCAGCCCAGCTGCTTGGTCCAGGCCTGGAAGAGTGGGACTATAGGTCAGAGCCCTAGAGAGGGCATCAGATTGGCTCTGCCTGTGACCCTTTGGGCTGGGAGCTGAGAAAGAGCTGCTTTTCGCTCCATGCTCTTCATACCCGCTGCTGGGGGGTCTGCAGGCAGGCATTAGGGTCGGTTCAGAGGGTCAGCTGTGTTGCTGGTCCCAGAAGGCAGCTGAGGCCTCCTCCCCTGGATAAGCATCCCAGATTTAGGCACACTGCCATTGTGCTGATTTGTGCTGGGTCCTGGGCTGACAGGCTTCCAGTTCTGGAAGGAGGGCCCCCGGCCAGCCAGCAGCCGGCAGCCAGGCAGGGATGGAGTGGTGGACTTGAAATGGGGAAAGTAGTTTGGGCAGATGTGGTTAGGGCTTTGCACCTCCCAGGGTGACCCCATCTCTGACTCTCCCACACCCTGCACCCTGGCCTTGCTGTGTTTGCCTGACCCAAGCTAGGCCCTAATGGTGCCACTCCACCACTGGCTCTGCCCGGCCTCCATGACTCAACATGTGAGGAAGGAAGCCTGGAGGCTGGAGGTGGTCCTCCCAATCATTTGTGTGGGTTCTCAGATTTTTTTTGGACTCGTTGGAAAAACTATTTCCCAACTCTAGTACATATTCTCCTGTATTCGTTTTTGGAGCGTCTGTTTAAAAGAAGGAAAGGATATCCCTAATTCTTCAGACACATAACCGGAAAGTCCCGAAATATAAGCTAGATGTTGCTTTAGAGGTGAGCTGCTAACCTCTTCATTTTACAAAGCAATTAAACAATTGTGACTGCTTTGTTGACAGTATATTTGTTTTAAAAAGAAAAGAGGTTGCCTAAAAGCTTAATTCTTCAGTGCAGCTGGGTGTATTGGGAATGAATTTTGGTGTAGGGCGAATCCCAGGTCCCAGCGTTCAGAGTCTGTCTGGTGGGGCTGAAGTGCATTATTCTTGCCGTCCACAGCCCTCTCCTCCTCCCTCAACCCGTCTTTCTTCCAATAATGCCAATTAGGTGTCTGCACCAGGCGGGCCTGCTGGGTGTGCTGGGGCGGGGTGGTGGGGGTGGTTGTTATCAAGTCAGTCCTGGGGACAAACACCCGGCGGGTCTCGCATCAAGCGTTTCGCAGGGAAAGAAAGCCAAGCGCAACGAGGCAAGCAGGAGCTCACTGGGAAGAGATGTTCTTTGCACAATAAAAATCTTCTTTTACTCACGATTTCTTTTCTTCTTTGAGAATCGCAGATGCATATTTATTTCATCAGTGCGTAAATGCTTTTCAGACGAGAAGCCAGGCAAGTGGGCACAGAAACGTGCCTCCTCGACTTTGTCGAGTCTGTGTCAGCGGTATTGGGAAATTAACACACCCCTCCCTAACTTTTGAAAAAATGTGCCCTCACTCCTCAAGGAGCTACAGGGCTCGGTCCTTAGAAAGAGGTGGCCGGTTTTCGTAAGCGTCGCTTCCTCCTTTTGATTTGCTCTCAAAGATCCCAGGCACCCAGAAGTGCAAAGTTATTTTACGCACCACGGGGGTGATTAATCGACATTTGAATACATTTAATAAGTTCGCTAAAATCTACCCGAACATCCTAGACCAGCAAAGCACAGCGCAGGCTGAGGAGGTTAGGCGTTTTCACTCGTAGCTCGAAAGATCCTTTTTCACTCTATCCGTGTCCTGGGGGTTCCTTTTAAAAGGCAGTCTCTGCCCTTTCAGGCACAAAACCCAGTTAAAGCAGGGGGAAAGGCGGCCTTTGCAAAATCAGGAACACCTCTTCGCGTCCTCCGCTGGAGAACATATGAAAAGAAATGACAACATACACCCCCCATTTTTTTCCTCGGCCAAATAAAATTATGTAACTCTCTTTTCTTGCCGTCTGTCGCTCGTCTGGAAAGGGTTTCTATCCTGAGGAGGTGGCAAATTCCTAAAGGAGGCTCCGGAAGGGGGGGAGGGTCAGTGGAAGAGTCCAAAAATCTGTCACAAAATGGAGTCTAATCGTTGTAATACAGCTCCCAGATCTGGCGACCTGAGACTCGTCGGTGTGCAAGCGGGAGCCTCTGTACGCCGCAGGACGCGGGGCTCCTGCCCGGGCCAGGCTCCCACCTTGGTGGCTGCGGAGCCTCGGGCACCCTTCCGCCTGCGGGTCCTGCCCAGGGCGGTTCAGGCTCTGGGCAGCATGGACTCCAAGGGCTCAGGAGCGCCTGCCAGGGTCTCCTTGGGCTCTCCTGCCCAGGTGAGGTGTACCCACCTCCACAGAAGGGGGCCGTCAAGGCTTTGATTTTCACAAAAAGTCCTCTGAGTGCTAGGGTGATTTTTGTAATCCCCCCAGCTGGCTGAGACTCCAGTGGCCCCGACCGCACTCTTCCCAGCACATTCCTTTCCTTGGAAGTGTTTACACCGGGAAGGCCTTCCTGGGAGGCTGGCCCTCTCCCCCAGCCCTGGCAGTCTGCGGGTGTGGCTCCGGAGAGCAGTCAGGCTCTGGCCTCTTCTGGCTGCTGCATCCGCCAGCTTGGAAAGCCTCCCAAAGGCCTAATCATAGAGTGCCCCTTCCCCAGGGATACCCCCATCGGACTATCTCGGCTGTAGACTCACTCTGTCCATCGCCTAGGTGGGGCCTTTTGCTGGAAAGGGGTCTGCTTGGGAGGAGGCCCCAGGACTTGTCTTTACGAAACGGCCTCCTAGGTGCCCTCCCCAGAGGCCCAGGTGTCCAGAGACTCACTGTGTCAGCCCACATCTGGGGCCCTGCCAGTCCCTCCGTCCCACGGCGGACTCCTCTCCATTTAACCCCAGCACCTCGGCTGCAGGCACCAGGGTGAGTGAAGGACAGACATTATTCACAGCGACTCCAGCAAGCCCTGTATTCCCCAGGCTCTAGGCTGGTGTGACCTTGTTTGTTTGCCGGGTTTTTCTCAAGTGGGGGAAGCAGGCT